AGGTTAACTCCTGAAGCCTTTTCCATGAGTGGATATAGCCACAAGGCAGTGGAGGTTTGAAATTGGAGTTTTCCTTCTCCTAGATGGGCTGCCTTCCATGGCTGACGAGCCCCACCTACCCGGCCTGCTCTTTAATAGTGCAAAAGTATGATCTGATCCTTAAAACTTTCCTGACACGCCGGCTTATGCAAATCTCATTGCCTTTCCTATTTACCAAAACCTGTAACAACCTGTAACAACCATCTAAAAGAAACCTGGGGGGGGGGAACTTTTGTGTTACCATAGTTGGAAACAGAACAATGGCCCATAACAAAACTTCCATAGGAGAAAATAAGGGGCTTAAGAAGGGGATACTGTAAATTGATAGGCTCACTTAGATTTAAGGTAGAGTTGAATATTTACACAAGAAACCTATCTACAGAGATCAAGATTTGCAGAATACAAGATCAATACAGTAACAGACCCATTGATCTTGAACTTGATATCAATCCATTTTAAATGGTGCCACTAAACCGAAAAAGCACTACATACATTTTAATTCAGAAAACCTCCGACACACATTGACTGGGAACTTTTTCTTGCTATACGGGTAAATATTGCCTCAGCAATATAAACACAGCCCAAGCAGCTTGAGAGAAGCTGGAATACACCTTCTCCTGTCCAGTGTAATAAAACTGGCCTTGGGGCCACTCCCTCCATTTCCTCCATTAGATACATAGTGATTGAAAGATCGAAATGTGTAACAATTTGAAAATGCAGGGTTTTTTTTATAAAAAGGATAGTTCCGGCCATAATAACAAGAGCCACAAGGGCCACGCAACAGGCCTACCCGAAACACAACGTGGGAAAAGAGGCAAGAGCTTACACCACGTGCTCTCAGCGGGGTGCCAGCTAAACGGGTAGCTGAGCCTCGGCCAGCCTGCAACCCTGCACTCTTTCCCAAGCGTCAAGTCCCAATAAACTCGACGGGCTTCCTTTCTAAGCGGATAAACTACCGGTCAAGTCAGGCAACTTCGGCTTTAAGTATACAGTACAACGAACGTACACCTTCATTTTAATTTAGATGTATGGGAAGGGGGGATCCGTTATGTTTCCTATTAAACAAAGCACCGCAGATGATTATACAGAATCGTAATTATGATCATCGTCAAACTGCAAAGCTGAAAGGGGCTCGAAGGATCACCGAGTCCAACGCCTGTCAAGGAGGCCCTGTGGGGGAATCGAACTCCCAACCTCTGGCAGAGACCCAAAGCGCTCCGCTATCTAGCCGCTGGTTTGGCACTGTGACTGAAGGGTGCGACTAGCCCCTAGCGGCCCTCAGGGGATACGATGGGCCCAACAGGACGAAAGAAAGCGAACTCGCCAGGCTCGCGTACCTGCGGCGCCGTCGGGAGCGTCCTTGTCCGGCCGGCCGTGCTCGGCGCCGCCCTGCTGCCGGTCGTTGTCGCACACGCCCTGGTCGAGGCGCGCCTCCGGGCGGGCGCAGCAGTAGCGCAGGGCGCAAGTGCCGCAGCAGATGGTGGCGTCGCCGTCGTCGAAGTGCTCCGGGCACTGGAAGCCGTCCCGCCAGGCCGCCCCGTCCTGCCAGCCGTGGCAATACTCG